GAATCTATCTATACATGTGGTAGAAATAGATAGATTCTTGATGCAATTGATACAATTATTTTATATGTTTTAATAGTAACTCAATTAATTGCATCAAATAATTGTATCAATTGCATCAAGAATCTATCTATTTCTACCACATGTATAGTTCTAACCAACCTTGAAAGGTACACGTTCCAAATAACTACTGCTAGGATCTAGATTAGGTTAGATAGTTTAAAACTAGTGGTAGGATTTCTATCTCTTAAAGATTCCACTTGGTATGCAGATCCACTTTCTGAATAGATAAATTAATATAACTGGATAAGGCTATAGATAGAAGTGCAAGTTAACTTAAATGGATTTTATAGTTATATAATTGGATATAAATAACTTAATAAAAATCATATGCTGCTAGTGCTCTTTACCCGAAAAAAAAAATAAAATAAAAATTATATGTCTAATATATATTTGAAAACTTTTTCTGTTAATTCTTTTATCAATCCAAAAAAAAAACATTTTCAAGAAATTTTTTTATTTTTTTGATAATAAAGTTTATATATTTTCCTTAATACTTTACTTCCTGAAGACTGATGTTTTTCTTTACTTATTTTTTTTTTTCTTTAAAATTTTTATATATTTTAATAACAAAATAAATAAAATTTATTTATTTGATTTATGGAAAAAATATTTTGTTAGGAAAAAGAAACCTGTCAAAAAAACATTCTTTACTATATTCTCCTTAGATCTAGAACTCTAGAAAGAAAATTACTAATAAATATATTATCCAAGTTCTATAAGAACCTTGGATTCACTATAAGTAAACATCTTAGGCTAAAGTAGATAGATAAGTTAATAAAGTTTATATTTTCAAATATATAATTTTTTTCATTAATCATATATATTTATGATAGTATTTTTAAATATATTAAAAAATTTTGCTTATTTCAATTTGATTTTGAATTTTTTATTATATTAGAAATTCTAATTAATAATTGATTAAAATCTTGAATTGATTGATTGATATATAAAAGAAATATAAACAAGATATATACTACTTATATATTTTATATTATACTACATTAAAACCAATAACACAATAAATATAATAAAAAAGTAAAACATTGAGATATTCTCTTATTAGAAGTAGTATGAAATCTTCTCTTTTTTCTCTTATATTGATTTCTTTTTTTTTAAAATCAAAGAAGATTCTTATTAGACAGATGATTGATTTAGATAGATTTTTTATTTATCAGAGCAGACTTTTCTTTATTTTTATTATTATTTTTTTTATATTTTTAAAAAAAATAAAAAAAAATTTATTCCTTAAAACTACAATGGTTATGTTAAAATAATAATTAAAAATGTTAACTGGCAATAATTTTTTTGTTAAGATTAGCAAAGTGTTTTACTAAAGAGAAACAATTTTTTCATTTCTATAATTTTATCTAGAAAGTTAAAAGAATTTATAAAGTTTAAGATAGCTAATATTATGCAGTAATAACTTAATGAACCAACTTCTTTATAATAAAATAGTTGATAAATAACTAGTAACACAATAGTTTTAATATTAATTATTCAAGAATTATATATAAATTTATTAAACTTATTGATAGATATGTTGCAGCTTATAAGAATGTTTAATAATAATACAAAATTATATTAATATATTTTGTTTAAAAAGATTAATAAATACAATAGCTTGTAACTTGATTAGAAATAAAAAAAAATAATTATAAATAGAAAAAAAATGAATCTATGATATAAAAACAAAAGTATATAATAGTTTTATATATAATTTAAAAATTTATCATAAAAAATATATATTTAAAAAAACCAAAAATATAATAATAAATTATGATTTAGAGAATAAAAATTTAATATTACATATTTTTAAACAATCAAATTTTATTACAAATAAAATTGAAATAATTTTAAAGCTAAACAAGCTTTGATAGTTATTGATTCATTAAATTAATAAAAGATAAACTATTTTATTTATTATATTTTTTAATTTTTAAAAAGTATTTTTATGTAAAAAAATATATAGAAAAGTGAATATCTTGAGTAGATAAATTGCTATAAATTAATAAATTGAATCTAAATATTATTACTTGTTCTTTAACTAATTTTAACTTAAGAACTAAATATGGAAGAATTAAATAATTACCTTTCTATTCACTTGTAATAATAACAATCTACAATCTATTGTTATTTAAATCAATATGAAATTCTGTTATACAATTATTATTAATTGCCAACATTGCAAAAACTTGAAAAAGTTTTTTAACTTTTTAAAAAATATGAATTAAAATTCAAATAATTATTAAATTATTATTTTCAATAAACTTATATAATAATTATAAAAACTAAAAAAAAATAAAGTTTTTTACAGTTAAAAAATGGTTTTTATATACATTATATGGATCGTTTTTTCTGTATATCTGGAAAAATGTAATAAAAGTGTATCATTAAAAAAGATTTAAATTATAATATATATATACTGTATTATATATATCGGATGCTTCATATCAATGGAAATTTCCGCATGAATTTATTATACTCTGTTAGATTTAATAACGCTATTATATACTAAACGCGAAGTCTTTATGTGAAATCTTAAATTTAATTAACTCACAATGGTGCGTGCGTATAGACGATTACGTGTAAGCTTACCATGGAAACAAATAAAAGCACCATTGGTCTTTCTTTCTATATTCTTTTCAATACCATTCTCTCGTAAATAAAATACTTTACAATGGCGACCTTGACTCCACTCCCTACATCTTCACAAGAGTATACTCAACTTCACAACGAATTTATTTACGGAATGAATAGCCATTCATATCAAACCAATCAAAACATTATTTCAATTTTGAAAATTCAGATGCCAAATCACATTGTTAAAAAACATGAAGATTACAAAGGGCAATACAGTGTTCAAAAAGTGTATCATGGCACGAAGCAGCGTTGTAATGTTAAGACGACCGTTATCACCAACAAATTATGTTCAGATCAGTATTGTGGTGTATGTGGGATCCTTCGAATAGGTCCTCGAATACCCTCCATGAGAGACAATGGTAAGAATTGATTAATAATTTTCGTTGTTTTTATTTTCTTTAAATTCTAACATTTTACTAAATTAAATAGGCATGATCTGGTTTGGATGTGTTTCTTACATTTCCCATGATTATACCGTACTTCACGGAGATTGTCGCGCAATGTTCGTAATGGATGTTGTACGCGCTACCACGCAAGATGGTTCCGTAGTTACAATAAATTCCGCAGAGGTATCTTTTTTGTTTTTTGTTGATTGTCAAAAGATTCTATAGATTTAACGTACGTGAATCTTTACACAGGCAGCCCTACCGAGATATTTAATTATTTACAAGTAGGAAAGTATCTCCGTACATTTAAAGATTTGATTATTATGAAATGTCCAATAAGAACGAAATTTTTATTGTATGGATACGATGTATATGCCAAGTTCACCGTATGATTGATTGATGTATTTGCGATTCAAATAAATAAATTACCGCGTACCAATTAATCTGCTAGTAGAAATATTTTAATACGATATCGATTATATTTACTTTTTTTTTAAAAAAAAATGATTTAAAAAAATTTTAAAAATTTTAAAAAAGTAATAACTAAATAAATAATAAATAAATAATAAATAAATAATACAATTACTTTTGATACATCGAGTTAATGTACCGTAAATTTCATCAAATTAATTAAAATTCTAATATAAAAAATTAAAACTTTTAACTGTATAAAAGGCTAATGGGATAATTTTAAAATTTTCTAATCAATACACACATTGTACTGTATATACAGTATACTGCACATATTAGCTTCACAAAAAAAATTTCAAAAAATTCTATATTCTCTGGATTGGTATTAATCAAACATTTACTAAAATAATTTTTGATCTATGACATTAATCTATTACATTAATAGGTTATCACACATTGAAAGTATAATATATACTCTCTATATTTTGTTAGAGAAAATATATAGTGTGCAAACTTTATACATGCAATATACTGTATGTGTGTTATATACATGAAAACTATTTTTCATTTCATTTTAATTTAAATATCATCATGTGATATTAAAATATATTATCGTTTTATCTGTCGTTTTTTTAATTACCGTTGGTTATTTGTTTTTAATATGCTGTTAACCTAATAATTAATCCTAATAATTAATTTTCATCATCATCAATATATAGTCAGGGTCTAACATAATTTAATTTAGGTTTTTGCAGAAACACCAAAACAACGCTGGAATATTTCCGGAAATAATAAAGCCATGTTGTACCTGGACGAGGATTTAAGGTTGATTTCCACGTAAGCTCGCAATCATCTACATCAATTCACCAAAGATATCTCCAAAAAGACTCGAGCAGATGTATTTGAAAAAAATTGGAACACAAGGTGATCTGGGAAGATTTTTGTGGCAGTACCCGCGAAATTTATCGAGAGGTAAGATAACTCTCCGGATTAGTGTGTGATGTTATTTTTCTTTATTATAAATCACACAGTTGATAGAATTCAATATGAAACATTTGAAGATTGCGTAAATTCGGGAATCAGCAAAAAAAAAAAGACGCGAAAATTTTTAGGACGGAAAAAAATTTACGAGATGTCGTTAGCACAGATTATTACCATTTCTAGCTAGAACCGTTAGCCCGACAAACAGAAATAAAGGAAAGGAAAGGTACGCCAACCCATCTATATTTTCGGAGTTGGTGGAGTCATAAAATTGGATAAATCGAGTAATTCTTAACAACAAAGACACTTCTCCACATAGCAGTTCTTTGGCATTGTGAAAGGTAAATCCAATGG